AAGCCAACAGGACCACATCATCTGCAAAAAGCAGAGACCTGATCCTCAGGCCACCAAAACGGATGCCCTCCACACCTTGGCTGCACCTAGAAATCCTGTCCATAAAGGTTATGAACAGAGTCGGTGACAAAGGGCAGCCTTTGCGGAGTCCAACTCTCACTGGGAATGAGCCCGACTTACTGCCGGCTATGCGGACCAAGCTCTGACACCAGTCATACAGGGACCTAACAGCCCGTATCAGAGGGTCTGGTACCCCATACTCCCGGAGTACCCCCCCACAGGGCCCCCCGAGGGACCCGGTCAAACGCCTTCTCCAAATTTACGAAACACATGTAGACTGGTTGGGCAAATTCCTACGCACCCTCCAGGATCCCCCTAAGGGTATAGAGCTGGTCCAGTGTTCCATGGCCAGGATGAAAACCACATTGCTCCTCCTGGGAGGTGGGAATTGAAGCTCCTTCTGACAGGAGACAGTTAGAATGTTATAAGAATAATTTAGATGTTTAAAAGTAGTAGTAGCAAAAAAGGTACAAGAAATTGAACAAAACTGATAGTAAATGGGGTGCTGCTATTCAATTAGAACAACTTTAGCAAAAATAAAACCATTTCATGAAAATGCTTAATTTCCACATTTAGAATGATTGCTCCACCGTTGTAGAAACACAAAAAACCCAAACATTTACATTAAATTCCACTCTAGGGCAGGTTTGCACATGAAGCTAAAGCTTTCGATCGGCAGAGCTCCAGCCCAAAACACGAAGCAACAAGGGGGGGCCAAACCCATGAGGCTACATCATCCACTGCACTGCAGGACTGGTAAGAAATGCTGCTGGGAAAGCCTGAGTTGAAAATGAAAAACTTTTTTTTCATGATATGGAAGCTAAATAGTTTGTTCTTTTCTCAGTAAATCATGAAACACACGTTGGCACACATGTAACTCCATAGCTCCTATAGGAAACCAGTAGCTCCCATAGGAAACCAGTAAAACTCCAGATTTGGTCTGCTGGGTTTCTGGCAGCAGGGTTTTAGTGTGTGCCATAAATAACAGCACAAATGGCACAACCATTGAGTGCGGTCCCAAACCATAATAATGACAGCCATAACCTTTATTAACAGGATTAAAAGGATCTCATTTAGGACCCTAAATAAATATATCACAATGATTTCCTGCTTGAGCATCATAAAATGCCCTAATTGTAAATAAAGCACAAGCAGGAACATCCTTTGAAATGAGGCAGCAGCTGTTGGTTACAAGTAGACCACATAAATCTTTAAATGCCAGCCCTCGTCAGCTGTTTATCAGCTGTTTAAGTGCTCCATATTGGGCTCTTTCCTTTCAGTCCAGTAACACAAAAAGAGTGACGATTATATCAGTAGCTGTGAAATTGTAACGATCTATGTCAGATAAGTGCAGCTGCAGCAATTGTGTATGTCAGCCAGTCCCTCTGAATCATAACGTCTGTTCCTGTTAATCGTTGCTCATGCTGCAGCGTTCGAGAATAATGGGAAAATTTCAAATCTGCCCGTCCATCTGTGCTCTGCTGGAAGATTTAACCACCTCCCGTCACTTTCTGACCTTCTGTCAGGCTGCTGATCCAAATCCTGACATTGGGCTGAAACGTGTCAAACCATCCCTGACAAAGAGTTAAATCACATTAAATTGAACGCTGCTTTCCATCTCCATCACTGAGATGAATCAATAGAGCCGAATGGATACCAGGATGAGACGTGTGCAGGCTCTGCCCTTAATCAGACTCGTTAACAGGTAGTTAAATGCACTCATTCTCCGCTGCTCCAACTATAACGGCATGCTGTTGAGGGAACAATGGCTTAAATGTGGACCTAATTACAGCTTAAATTGGACAATTTCTAAAACTTTAATCTGTGCTCATTTGCTGTTGAGGTACAAACCAACTGGCTGCATCATGTGGGCACAAAGCTAACGATGCTACTCTGTCCATTCATCATCGAGGAAAACAGAGTAGATAAAAGCCATGAAGGACTGGAATGGAGTTCCTGGAAAAGCTGTTCCACGAAGCTACAGTTTGGAAAAACACAGCAACAGGTCCTTCTGCAAACAACAACCCCCCAAAAAAGCCACGCCTCCAGGAAGCAGGAGCCCGGTCAGTCTAACCACATCAACAACACATCGTACAGATCAAGTAGAAATGGAGCCACGATGGCTGCGGTTTGCATCCTTTCCTGTCTTTTCGGTCAAAGCATCATTCTTCTGAAACTCTGCTCTTCTTTTGTGCTTCACCTACTTTCTTCTTGCCCTATAGTATTTTGAAATACATTTTTAAACATTCCACTCATTACTGGCACCTGTTCTGCAATAATTCCTGATGTAACTCAGCTACGTCACTGTGTAACACTTAAGTGTGCTAGCTAGCATAGCTAGCTTGACTCTACTAGCTAGCTTGACTCTTGCTTTGCTTTCCGCCTAATTATTCAAAAAGGAGAATGCTCGATTCGTGCACAAAGAGGGGTACGAGCCGAGGGGAGGGGTGGTCAGACGAATCAGGACCCAGTCATTAAGAACGGGACAGTCGCATTGATCGCAGGAGATTTTTCCAGTGTTGCATGTTTCAGAGGTGATAAAGTGTTAATTTTTAACTGGTCTATTGTCTACCAACAGTAGGGCCAGGCAATATTGCCTCAAATTACTGTCAGGATCTATGAACAAGTTCAGTTCAGTAGCGATAAACGGGCGATGACTACCCATTCAGCGGCTAACGGAGCTGTGGCAGGTTTGGTCACAAATCCCTCAGCCACCATTTTAGATGGGGTTATGGCCGCCAACCACTGGCCCCTGCCCACTGCTTCAACGCTTGAATCATCCTTTCTTTCCTCAGTCTTTCCAGACTGAATGGGGTGGAGTCACGTTACTCCAGTTTGTAGCGCAGCATCGTAAAGGAAAGCGTCACAGAGCTACACATCTTCTCACTTTTTAAACGCCTGATACAGCGACATGGGGAAGTGACATCAGTAATGAAGATGCACTTCAGTTTTCTGGTATATCGGTCATCTGTAGGCATCAGTACGTGAAGAGCGTTTCAAGCAACGTGGCAAAAAAGTCCGGGAAAAAGCTCCTCCCACCCCAGCTTTAGGAATTCTCCAACATAAAACATGAAAGTGAAAAACGAGTCCTTGGTGGTTTCTGCTCTAAGAGCTTTATGGAGCCATGACTTTTATCGGATGTTTATCAGAAGAAGATTAAAAATTAGAATGATAAAAGGTTGTTGACCTTAAGTGATGCTGGGTGCTTCCGTGTGTTTGTGCAGGCTTTCATGAAGGCTGGAGCAGCTCTGATCCTTTTCTGCTTAACAACAATCATCCAGCTTGTTCCGTATTGATTAGGATTCTGTTCTAAAGTTATTCCTTCTTGTAATTCTGGGACTTAAACATGGCAACAGGAGAGATGTTTACACGCCGGAGCAGCTGATTTCTGAAGCCGAACCGATGCTCCGATTGCGACGAGACCTTTGAGTTGGAAACAAAATTTCACGATTGTCTCGCGGAGACTTGAATTGGAAAAGCAAATGTGAGAATGGAGCCGTGACGAGGACACAGCCGGATTATTAGGAATCCAGCGGCGTGTGATTCAGTGAAGATATTCCTGTCCCTGCTGTGTTTCGGTCCGTTTGCTGACAATAGGTGCAGATCTGAGTTTTTCTGCTCTGCTGCAGAGAAAAAAACAGGCTTTTCCTCTCTATAATGTAAAATATAGCAATGTAATCTGGTGAGAGGAGAAAATGGATGTAAAACTGAGAAACAGTAGACAATAATATGACTTCAAAATCTGTCCAGTCAGGAAATTTAAAAATCACTGCAAGTTATAAAATGAAAATGATTTCCTCTGCAGCTATTTGACCATCACAAATTACTGGAGTGTCTGGATTATATAAATAATCCTCATCATCCTGTCAAATTAAAAGTTTACACCATTATTTAGAAGGAGCCTTTAAAGGCTGTTCACTTTATCAGGCATAAAAATCCCAATAACTCAGATTTAAGAGGTTGTTTGTAGCAAAGGAAGATCCTGAAGCAGCAGCAGGAGGACTGTTCAGGTCATCGCAGGAGCACCGGCTGCTGCAGGAGAACTCCTGCTTTAATTTAGGTCATCGAGATTATTTGGATAAACGACGGTTGTTAATTTTTCATTTGTCAAACTTAATGCTGCCTTTTCAACCTGCATGACTAAACTCAATCTGCCTCTTGATTTGGGGTAATTTCATTAGCAGATTAATGTTGGATTAATTATGCGCCACGATGAAGGCGGAGGTGCTGCAGGAGGCGTCAGTCAGAGGAGGAGTAATGAGTTTAATCTGACCAGCTGGGAAGTCTCCTTCCGTCATCAACAGGCTTTTCATGACCGCATGTCATCCATCACATTACTCCGGGCTAATTAACCGGCTGTGTAACGCAGCAGAGCAGTCAGAATCATCTGTTGGAAACAGAATAACCTGCTAATGATGTCCTTAACTATCCTGTATTTACACGTTTTGTTGCACGTGAATAAAATAGAGCAGGATGATGCATCTGTTGTAGCAGAGGAGGAGAAACCAGATTCAGGTGACTTTTTATTTATTTCTATTTTTTAGGTTTAAGGGTCTGGTTGATGCGCTCATCTCGGAGATCATGAGAAAAACTATCGTGCGTGTGCGCGCGGTGCCAACACAGCGCGCCTGAACTTTGCCCTTTGAGCTGTTTAAACCTCCGCAGCGCTCTGAACTTCCCTCCTCTAATTGCGCCATTGTAGTGTGCGCGGAGACCTGAAGGGACTGCCTGCGCTTGACTGACCACCCCTGGACAAAGATGCGCATGTATGGCTGTGCATCGGCGCGCGAAGAGCGCAATTAGCGTGATGGAGCGCTGACCGGATGCAGCTACAGTCCAACTTGATTCTATTTAGTTTTAAAGGAACAAACGGCAGAAGGGACGTTTGTTTGGACCAAACAGAACCAGCGAGAGGGTTCGTCTATTTCAACTTTTCTTACCCGGTTAGGGGTCCAGTCAGGCGGACATCAGGGGGAAAAGTCAACTGTCTCCACTTTCCTCATAGAGGATTAGGCTCCAGGCACACCGCTGGTCGTAGTCCGTTTCAGCATCAGTCCGTTTCCGTGCGCCTTGCCGGGAAGCGCCTCACGTGGCTCTGGCTGCGCACAGCCTGCTGCTCCGAGCGCAACTGAAGGATTTCCAGTCGGAACCGTCCGTAGCCGCTGTAATGACGTCAGTGGTGGGAGGGAGGGATTAACAAGCTTTGGGTGAATGACCACACACACACACACACACACACACACACACACACACACACACACACACACACACACACACACACACACACACACACACACACACACACACACACCTCTAATGCTGGTATCGCACTTGGTCTCATTGACGCCGAACCCAGATAAGGATGCTGATGGTCAGATAACATAAAGACAAATTCCTCCTGAAGAAAAACAAAACAAGGAGTTAAATCATGATATTCTGAGTCTGAGGGACTCAATTAGACAAGAGGTTTGGATAGAGAGATGTGTACACACACACACACACACACACACACATTCTCGTCTAGTATGTGTTGTGAGGGCCGTTGTTGACTTATATTCATTTTAGTGACTGGATTGTGCCTGACCCTAATAACCAGTAGAACTCTAACTTTGTATCAAAGCGAGGACCTGCACTGTCCTCACTTTGCTGCTAAAGTCCTCAGTTTGAGGGTAATTGTCATTGGACCTCACTTTGATGTATAAACGAGTACACACACACATGCACGCACACACACACACATTCATACCCACACACACACACACACACACACACACACACACACACACACACACACACACACACACACACACACGCATTCTCGTCTAGTATGTGTTGTGAGGGCCGTTGTTGACTTACATTCATTTTAGTGACTGGATTGTGCCTGACCCTAATAACCAGTAGAACTCTAACTTTGTACCAAAGCGAGGACCTGCACTGTCCTCACTTTGCTGCTAAAGTCCTCCGTTTGAGGGTAATTGTCATTGGACCTCACTTTGATGTATAGACGAGTACACACACACGCACGCACACGCACGCACACGCACACACATTCACACACACACACGCACACACACACACGCACGCACGCACGCACGCACGCACGCACACACACACACACACACACACACACACACACACACACACACACACACACACACTAAGCTTTACCTTTCATGCCTGTTTTTATTGTAGTGACAGACTAAAATAATTCTTTCAGCAGGGAGAAGCTCTCCACAGCTCACTAAGAGATGATCCCACTCTAAGCTGAGATGACGCTTCTTCAGCTAATTTCATCTCAGAAAGGTTGTTTCACGTTGACATCTTCTCAGTGACTCCAGCTACCTGGGAACCTACTGGCAGAGCCACAAAATATGAGCTCAAAATGAAATGAAATGAAATTAAACTTGATACAAAAGGTCCCGGTGTCCTCCCGAGACCCCGGAGGGAATCTCATCCCTAAAGAACCTTAAAGAAAAAAGCAGCTTTTCCATAAAACCAAACTAAATAAATGTATATTTACACAATCAGGTCCAAGTGAACTGAATAAAACATTATTGTGCAAGAAGCCAAAATGTCCCTGATGTGGTACAATAAAGGATTTGCTATGACCTCTTTAGGCCGTGCAGGTGGATGAATTACTGGACAAATCAACTGAAAAAAGTCTTTAAGATTCAAAACGGTTCTGAAGGCAGAACAGCAACAAGTTTCTAGCACGGACAGAGCCAGGAGTTCTGCAACAGATGATCTGAACCTCGCAGAGGCCCGATAGGATCATCACAGAGACAGCCGGAGATTACAGGAAGAGACGGGAGACACGGAGACTACATAAATCCACCAGGGAGCCGGGACGAGAGCTCCATGTCAGTGTTCCCAGAAACCTGATCAAAATGGCTGATGTGATGCTTCCACATTCAGATCCTTCACGCTTTTTTGGCTCAATGCGTTCAGTTTGTTACTCCAAACAGTAAAGCATCAACTCCTAGTTTACAAAAGAGTAAGAAGAAGGAATACTCCTTGTTGGATAAATACAGTATTGAATGTATGGAAATGATTTGTCTGGGTACCATCTGGTGTTTTTTAATTCAAACGAAGGTTCATTCCATGTTCATATTTTGTTATTATTCTGTGCCTCCGGCAGGGAGGTTCAACCTTGTAAGTGCAGTTCTGTTATCACAAAAGCTCCCTAGTGAAGTCCAGACGGAGCGTTTCTCTGTTATACCAAGAACCTAGGAAAGTTTGCTTTCTGTGAGGGGGGGTGGGGGGAGGTGTTTATCTTTAATGTGTGTGTGTGCTATGTACTTTTGAATAAACCCTTTTTGCGAGCATCTACTCGTCGAGAGACCAAACAGACAGCCACTGGTGTGTATCTTCTTTCTCTCCGATTTTGCAAAGTCTGGTTGTTGATTATTATTGGTATTGATAACCCAAAACCTAATATCTCTAACCCCCTTGTGTGTGTTGGAGTTTCTTTGAGGTAATCCTGGATTGACTAAATAAAATTACCCAACACTCCTTTTTTCAGCAGATTTGACTTTTTATCTGACGTTTTTAGTTGATTCATGAAGGCAGACTCTTATTGTTGTGTGTAAGTGACAGATTTAGGATAAAGTGGTTGCTTTACCTTCTTTTCATGTTCACCTGATCCCTCAGGACGTTTTCTGGCAGAAAGAACTCCCCCCACACCAAAGGAAGAGACCTGGTGATCATGGTGTTTGATTTCATTTGTTAAAGTTTCACCCAAAGCGAGCCCCGGGTCGCTGCCAGAAAACCTTCATCTTCACGTTGAAAGCTCCCGATGGAGACGAAAACTCTAAAGTTCCATTAAAATAATAACGTGAAAAGAATTCATTAGCAGTTAGCTCTGTGGTCTCTAGTGATGACATCTGGGGACAGAGCCAGATTAAATAAACGGATTACACTAGGCAGGCTGCATTTTATGCAGCTATTTGAACATTATTGAAAATATTTGGAAAAATATTCATGAAACCAGCAACACTTACCAAGGAAACCATTTACCATGCTCCACTCTGAGATAATCTTCAGCCTTTCAGCATCACAGGCCTCAGTCGCAGCAGAAACACGTCTTGATGGCATCACAATCTTGTGCTGAAATAATAAAATGTATACATAAGACAGCTGTTTCAGATGTGAATATACTCGGTTTGTTTCTCATATTTCATTTCATTAAAGTAGAAAGTATAGCACTATGTTATACGTTTAATTTATACGGTATGCATCTTACATTTGATTTTCATATTCACTTTACTTTGTAACGTCACCAAATGGACGGATTTTGAGATCCCACCATTCATATGCACGTCCAGAGCAAATAACCCTGGCCACACACGTTCTGCAGTATCTCACCCTGACAGGAGATGGAATGTCTGCACACAGGCTCTTTAATCAGATGACTTCATCAGCTGAACTGAAGCTTCATCAGATAATAAAGATGAACGGTAGCATTCTTTCCCCAAGGATCCTCACAAGAGAACTCCTAAAATAAACTTTTATTCCCAGAAGAAAAGAAGATTTCATAATATAAGTAATCATTTTATATTTCAGAATAATCCTTGAAGAAAAGAAGATCTTACAATTAATAATCACTAAATATTGCCATAAATGATTAAATGTTTCACAAATCTGTTCAATGATGCCAAGTATGTTTACTGGATTAGATCACTCACACCAGACAAGAAGTAAGGTTGAATTAAGAAGCATCACACATAAACTAACCTTGTTTCGCAGACTCAGCAGCTCTGCATCACAGAGTGTGCATTCTGAGCATTCTTGATAATTTTGGTCATAGATAAACAGCAGGCTGTAAATCCAGCCTCTCTGCTTCCACCCGGAGACAAGTTCGAACCTCCAACAGAACGAGGGTTGGAGAGCAAAGCTTTAAGACCGGTCATCTTTAGCTGAGCTACCAAAGGATTTTGACACGCTGTCAAAACCTTAAGCTTTTGCACCTGCAAAGCTGAGGACAACAAGAGACTTTTCCTGCAGAACAAAGCTGATTTTGCGACACTCCTTCAGAGTTGTTTTGAGACGCTTGGTTTCATCCAGTCCACCTGTGTTACCTGGAGCGATCCTGGGCCGACCTGGTCGTACTACGAGTTAGTTTACGGACTTCTGTACCCGGGGTCTCCAACCTCCTGACATCTTGGATCCGCAAGGGCGCCTCCACTTGGGTACGTAGAACACAGTGAGCTAGCGTCTGTTTGCAGTTTGATAAGAACAGCTTACAGCTCAGGTGCAAACCAAATTCTTTTATTATCCAGAACTCACCTCTCTCTGAGATGCGGAGAGTTTGACTCTGAAATACTGTATTCACACCTAGTTCCAGACACCCATCTCTTAGTTCACATCCACTCACAGTAAATAATAGTTTAAACCATTTGTCAAGGCGTAAAATTGTTTGTAAAATAAATTCTTATTTGTTTGCAAACCCTGACTGGTTCTTCAATCAAAGCAAAGTGTGACGATCCCTTAATAATTAAAAGAATCCAAGAACCTTCTAATTAATCATCCTAAGACCAAGCAAGGTGATATTCTCTAATAATAGAGTATTACAGCTATTGGTCACAAAGTAATGAGAATAGAATAAGTAGCTCTTAAGCAATGTATTTAATCCATTTTACCCTCGTATTGACTTCATTACAACTTATTCAGAAAAACTTACAGATGCTTTCTCGTGAGTTTTGATGTGGTGAAGTCCTCGATGGTGTCTTGAAAATCCAGTGCAGTTGTGAATTCATTTTCAATTGCCAACAGAGCAAAGGCATTCAGTTTTTTTCCTGATGCTGTTGCTCTCTGATGTGTTTTTACTCATTTCAACGCCTGAACAGTTTGCAATCGGTAATGTCAGATACATGCGAAGGCAAATGTCCACATCAGGGAAAGCATCCCTCAAGCCTAGCTCTAGGAATTTCTTGTACATGTCCACGACTGATTCAGTCCCCCCGGGCCGGGGGTGAAGCTGAGATCAGCATCCTCTCGCTGCTGTGGAAGTGACACGGCAAAGAAGAAGCCCTCTGACCTTTAACCTCGTGCGCGCGCGCACACACACACACACACACACACACACACACACACACACACACCCTTTGTTCCCAGAAAAAAAAGAGTTTGTTGAATTTAAACAGCCGGGCAGATCGATTCAAAGCCTTTATTGAACGTTTAAA